GACAGTGTCATAATATAGTATATTAATCAGAAAATATTTTGATTTACAAAATATTATTTAAAGCAAAATTATAAAGTGCATAAAAAAGTAATTAATTTTTTTTTTTTTGTCTTTTAACTATCACCTAAAAAAAAATTATTATTAGTATTTTATTTATTATATAGTATATTAATAGAATATTAATATTAATAAAATTACTTTTGATTTGGTTAATAAAAGCTGTCCATTCTTTCTTGCAAAAGTTCTCAAGCCAAGTTATCATTACATTATTGACTAAGTCTAAAGTAGTCCAATTGTTATTTAATGTTTTAAATAATTGCATTAATCTTGGGCCTGCTATAGTAAATGTGTTAAGTTTTCTTAATAAAATTTTGCTAGAAAATCCAGGAATGTTTATTGAAATTTCGTCTAATTCTATACTTCTTTTTCTTTTTTTTTCTTTTTCATTAGCTATATGTTTAATATTGAATAGATCAGATTATATTGAGTTTATTTTAAAGAGTTGTTCAATTGAGGTTTTACTAATTAAAAGTGAATGCACTTGCATTGCCAATTTCATGCTTTTAGATCTAGTGGCAAAGTTTGAAACCCATCCCTTTAAGAAGGTATAGGCTTTTTCAAATTTATATAAGAATCTTAAAAACATGTATCTTGTCATCTCTGAATGATATGAACTAATATCAACTTTATAAATTAATTGGTAACATGTTGTTATAAGTATTAAGAATATTGATATTTGGTTAGATACTTTAGTATTATAATTTAAAAAATAATTAACACTAAGACTAGATAGTAATTCTGATGCCCTTCTTAATAATAAGATTGCATTTTGTATATTTCTAGCTTCTTCTATTAACAGAGGTATTTTTTGTTTTTCTATTAACAGAGTTACTTCTTGTTCTTGAAATAGATTTAGTTTGAGAGCTCTATGGATTAATGAGATATTAAATTGGACTGAATAGGTAGAGTTTTTTTGTTGAATTACTATTTTCAGAAAATCTATTATGTTTTTGTAGTACTTTATTTTTTTGATCCCAGAATTGGGATCAAAAAATGAAGCTACTACAGGCAATCCATTTTGCAAAAAAAGAAAGTCATAATATAAATTAGCTGTTTTGAGCTTATTATTATTTAAAAGTCCATTTTTGAGAGAATTTTCATATTTAGCATAAAAACCTAAAGTATCTATCAGATTATTATTATCCTGGTTTATACGTATAAATTTTGGTCATTTAAGATTATTGACCACTTTTTTAATTACTTTATAATTTGCTGGTTCGAAAGTGATTTGTTCATTTTCATTCTTTAATACTGCTTTTCCCTTTTCAGAAAATATTTCAATCTTTTTCAAATTGGATCTGTGTACTACTGCACTTAGTGTTAAACTGCAATTTACAATATTCAAATTAAATTTTTTCACCATATGTTGAAATCTTGTAGACTCATAACTGCATGATGATAAAATTTGTTTCGCAGTTTTAATCATTAATTCTAAAAAAAAAATATTGTATATTAATTAATTAATTTTTTTTTTAATTTTTTATTTAATTTTTTTATTTAATTTTTTTTTTAATTTTTTTTTTTAATTTTTTTGATTTTTTTTAATTATTTATTATATATATACTACTATTTTTTGATGTTTTGCATTTACTTTTTTTCTTTCTTCTTTTTTCTATAATGCTAGTTTCTTTATCCTTTATCTCATCAAATTCTGCTCTATTTATTCAGTCTGCCTCTTCAATATCTTCTCTATACATTTTATTGACTTTCTCTTTAGCTTCATAGTCCATCTTTCCTTTATACATTTCATCAACTTTCTCTTCATAGTCATTCTCTATCATATCAGCATCTTCTTCTTTAGTATTACTTTTTTTACTGTCCTCCTTTTCTGAATTTTGATTATTAACATCACCTAAATTCTGCTCAATTTCATCTTTTTAATAATAAATAAATTAGTTATATTAGCAAATATAAACAGTATAGAATATTATATTAATTAATTTATATCTTTGTTTAATAACACTTTTAGTTCATCAAATTTAACTTTATATTTGTTATTTACTTAATTAGGCACTTCACTAACCTCAAGTACTATATCTAGTTTGTTAGCTGCCTTACTTTTAAGATCTATCATATTGTTAACCTACAAAAATGACCATAACTCTTGAACCACTAGACAGAATTTGATGAAACCACCACCATTCGAATC